GAGAGGGGCGTGGCTGACGCGTTGGCCCCGCCCCCTCCGTCGCAGCCCGCGGCCTCATTGGCGCCTTCCCGCTTCCGCAGATCTTGGGAGCCGCCGCGTAATTGAGTAAAATCCCGGAGAGGGGGCGGGGCTTCAGGCAGGTTTCTGCTAAGCGATTAGTCGATAGCTAAGGGGGCTGTACAGAAGGCAGCAGGTTACGATCGGATTGGCTTCGGGTTCAGCTGGGAGGCGGGACGAGTTCTTGGTCCCACGAGGAGAGGTGGTGAGGATCCTGGGAGTAAAGTACCGGGCCCGGCCCGCTGGCCCCCGAGATCGGCCTCTGGTCTCGGACTCCTGGGTATTGCGGGTTGAAGTCCGGATTCCTATTGTTGGGATCGATGTCTCTGGGATGAGATTTGGGGGTTTCTCAGGATTAGATGGAGCCGGGGTGCTTTGGGGGATCTTCATACAGATATCTGGATGTAGTTATGGGAGCAGGATCTTTGCTGTTAGAACTGGGATCCCGACGTGATATTTGAGAGTCACTGAGGTGATCTCAGAAGATCTAGGGCGACGAGTTTGAGCTGGTGGGGCTGAAACTTGGGGGTGTCGGAGATGGCATGAGTGTTGGGGTCCAGAGAGGCTGAGATCTTGAGGGCTGACATTTAGAGAGATGGGGTCGGGGGGGGGGGGTCGCAGGGCCCGACCCTTATTCCTGGTGATCCCGGCCTTGCGCAGGCTCACAGGGGCTGAAGGCCAAAGGTAAAGCTCTGAGCCACTCGGTACCTCCTTCCCAGGCCCGCAAGATGGAGGAAGGCGGGGACCTGGCAAGCCTGACTAAGGTGGTCCATCTCCTGGTCTTGTCCGGGGCCTGGGGCATGCAAATGTGGGTGACCTTCTTCTCAGGTAGGGACCCTCGTACTGGACGTCATGGATACGCAGGGCGGGGGCAGGAATGAGAGCAGGACCTGGAGTGTCCTAAGGGATGCCTACACTCCACAGGCTTCCTGCTCTTCCGAGGCCTTCCACGGCATACCTTCGGTCTTGTGCAGAGCAAGCTCTTCCCATTCTACTTTCACATCTCTATGGGCTGTGCCTTCATCAACCTCTGCGTCTTGTTTCCACAACACGCCTGGGCTCAGCTCACATTCTGGGAGACCAGCCAGGTATGCAGACTTGGGCTTCACTACCCTCTGAAGAAGACTCCTTCCCAGTACCCCTCTGAGCTCCTACGGCCCCTCCTTTGTGAGAATTACATCACAACAAAACTGTGCCTTCTTCCTGGTGGATACAAAGCTTGGGCTCTGTACACCTGTGAGCAGTCCACAGCCTGCATAGCCATCCCCAGCAGCCCTGTCTATCCTATTCCCCTATCTGCTGGCTGCTGCTCCCTCGCCTCCCTCTGGTTGGGCCTGCTGCCAAGCTGGGGTGACTCAGCTGGGCTGGGGCACTGACCCCAGCTCATTGTTTCAAAACTAGCCTGACTGGGAATTTAAAGTCCCCCACCCCCATCCACGCATTTTCCCAATTACCAGGCAAGGGACCTTCCCTGCATCTCATATTTCTCTATCCCGCCCTCCCACTGCCTCCATTGTGTTCCTCAGATGTGAGCAGGTAAAGCCTGACAGGGATTTCAAGAATAATCCCATAGACACTGGAGTGTATTATGGGTAACTAGCACTTTAAGGGCTTTTTATTCACTCCCTGTGGGCCCAGTGGCTGCTTCTGGAATCTGGGCTGGGGCCACAGAGGAGATGGACCCTGTCTTAGGTTCTCTCTTTTGGGGGAGCGAGGGGGGCAGTTATTGTGCGGTTCCAATTTGGGGAAGAGAGGTCCTGCTCTGAGATACCGTCAGTTTGTGGGAAAAGAGGACACAAGGCTGCATCCTGGAAACGTCCAGTCTGACTGTCAGAGAAGAGGAGGCTCAGAAGGTTTGGGGGGTGCTGATATGGAGCTTTTCCTGCCAGCTTCAGATTGTTAGACCTGGAGCTCTGGTGTGTGTGTGGGGGGGGGGGGGGGGCTCCCTAATCTGGGTTGTGGAAGGAGTGGGAGGCCCAGCTTTGACCCTCTGCTGTCCCCCAGCCCCTCTGGACCTTGAGGATGCAGAAGGCCCCTCTTCCAGGTATGGCTCACCTCCCACTACTTCCAACAGCTCTGCCTGATGTTCCTGAGTCTCACACTCGCCACCATCAATGCCCGTTGGCTGGAGCATCGCACCACAGCGGCCATGTGGGCCCTGCAGGCCATTGAGAAGAAGCAGGGCCTGGGTGGGGAGGTCCCAGGCCGCCACCAGGGCCCGGACCTCTACCGCCAGCTGCGGGAGCAGGATCCCAAGTACAGCGCCCTCCGCCAGATCTTCTTCCGCTACCACGGCCTGTCCTCCATTTGCAATCTGGGCTGCCTCCTGAGCAATGGGCTCTGTCTGGCTGGCCTTGCCCTGAATCTTAAGAGCCTGTAGCACCCACTGCTACTTCGTCTCTGCTGGAGCCCCAAGATCTCAATAAACCCATCTTTGGAAATGGCTGCTGTCCTTTTTCTCCCACTGGAAAGCAGGGGGAAAGGTGGACAAGAGTGGAAGCGAGCGCCTCTGTTTCTCCGTTCACACTCCCCGTGGTGATTTGGAGTGTTAGCTGTTACAGCCCCTAAGCTCTTCCTATCACAGTGCCCATGTGCTGAGCACCCACTGTGTGCCAACACATGGGCACTGGAGGTAATCATTCACATGCTGGCACCATATATTATTGTAGCCATCGCTGGTTCTGATCCCTAGGAGACAAGCATATTTTCAACCCCACTGAATTGGGGATGGCCATGTGTCTTGCTTTGGCCAATGAAATGTAAACAAACCCCAACAGTCATTTCCAAAGAGAAGGGTACACCCTAGCCCGTTTTTCTCAGTGGTGAGGGAGTCAGCCCTTGGACCAAAAGGATCTCAGGTTCGGTTCCTGGTCAATGGCATGTACCTCGGTTACAGGCTTGATCCCCAGCCCTCGTCAGGGCACGTGCGAAGGAGGCAACCAATTTATGTGTCTCATGTTGATGTTTTCTCTCTCCCCTCCTACTTCCCTTCCACGCTCTTTTAACATCAATGGGAAAATATCCCCAGATGAGGATTAAAAAAGAGAGAGAGAGAGAGAGAGAGAGAGAGAGAGAGAGAGAGAGAAGGGTATAATGGTCCCTTATCCATGGGGGATAATTCTAAGACCTGTGATTGCCTGAACCATGGATAGTACCAAATCCTGTATATATTATGATTTTTTCCTATCCACACATACCTTTCAATTAAAGCTCTTTATGGCTTCTCTGGAATGTCTGAATTGCCAGCATCACTACTCTTGTGCTTTGGGGGTCATTATTATTATTTTTTAAATTATGGGTTTTTTAAATTTCTTCTTTTTTAGAGAGAGAGAGAGAAAGGAAGGAAAAGGAAGGTAGAAACATTCATGAGAGAGAAACATCAACATGGACTGGCTGCCTCCTGCACACCATCCTCTGGGGATCGAGCCTGCAACCTGGGCATGTGCCCTGACTGGGAATGGAACTGGCGACCTCTTGGTGCACAGGGTGACACTGAACCACTGAACAACAGCGGTGGGGCTGGGTCATTAAGTAAAATAAGGGTTACTTGAACACCAGCACTGTGACACCGTGACATTTGGTCTAATACCTGAGATGGCTACTAAGTGACTCATGGGTGGGGAGTGTCCACAGCGTGGATATGGTGGACACGGGTAATTCACATTCAGGTTGCATGGAGCAAGATAGCGCAAGATTTTGTCATGCTATTCAGAATGGTACACAATTTTAAACATAGAAATTGTTTACCCCAGACTTTTCCATTTGATATTTTCAAAGAGAGGTTGACCCACAGAAAGCCAGTGCACGATTTGCCACATTCTCCCTTCTCCACAATGACCAGTGTGAGAAGCACACCTTAAATGTTGGGTGCCATTGAAGTTTTTGGGCTGCTTGTTACTGAGCATATGCCACTCCTTCCTGACTGATGCATGTCATTTTTGTTCCTTCTCACGGCAGTCCTCAGAGGCATCTGCTGTTTCATGAAGCAGTGGTGCTCAGAGATGTTCAACAGTGGCTTCAGGTGGAGTTGGTGGAATTTGAACACCAGCAAAGCCTAAGCTGCTATCACTGCACATCCTCTCCTGCTGGCATAAAAAACAAACAAACAAACAAACAAAAACACCTCTAGGACCTCGTTAGGGCTGGATGTGCCAAATTTTCATACTGTGTGGCCTCGGTCAAGGAGCTGATCCTTTCTGAGCCTCAGTTCCTTTCTTTCTTTCTTTCTTTCTTTCTTTCTTTTTTAAAATATATATATATTTTATTGATTTTTTACAGAGAGGAAAGGAGAGGGATAGAGAGTTAGGAACATCGATGAGAGAATCATCGATCAGCTGTCTCTTGCACACCTCCTACCCGGGATGTGCCCGCAATCCAGGTACATGCCCCCGACCGGAATCGAACCCGGGACTCTTCAGTCCGCAGGCGGACGCTCTATCCACTGAGCCAAACCGGTTTCGGCTGAGCCTCAGTTTCTTTATCCATAAAGTGGAAATGAATCCCAAGGGCCCTTAAGAGTATTTGGCAAAGGGACCACTCTGTGGTCAGGCGCACTGCGATTACAAACACTAATTCTCAGGCCAGAACCCGTACACAACCCTGCGAGGTGGAGACTCTCGTGTTGAGTTCAACCATTTGACAGTTGCGGAAACTGAGGCCCAGGGAGGCTAAGGAACTTCTCCAAAGTCACAGGGGCAGAAAGCGGTGGAGCTGGGCCTCGAACCTGGCTCCAGAATCCCGCACGCGCTCAATCGCTCTGCACCCAGTAGGAGTTTTATAAGCAGTGTATAGTCGGGGCGGGTGCAGGGGGAGCTCCGGACCTCTGAACTCGGGGTGCCGCTTCCACCCTCTCCCCACTTTCCTTGAGTCCCGCCCGGCCCCGGCCCCGCCCGGCCCCGCCCCCCGCCCCCGGGAGCGGCCCTCCCTCCCGCCGGGGCGGAGCCCGGGGATCCGGTGGCTGCGGCGGCGGCGGCGGGATCGGGGTCGCGGTCGCGGTCGGGACGGCGGCGGCCGAGGGCAGAGCCGCAGCGAGTCCGGAGGCGGAGACCCCGCGGGCCACGACCCGCTCCAGGTGACCCCCTCGGAGGGAGCGCCCGCCCCGCCCCTCTGCGTCCCATCAGGTCTGGGGGGGACAAGGGGACGGGGGAGGCCCCGGGAGGGCAAAGGCTGGCCGCGGGGGACGCCTCCCCCTCGCCCCCACCCAGCTGGGCTCCTCGGAGAACGTGCCTGGGATGCGGGGGCTCCCGGATCCCCGCTGGGAACCGGAGATGGGACCATATGGTGATGGGGGGGGGGGAGCTCCAGAGCCACCCTGCACCTGCTGGGCCCCTCCAGATCCGGCAGGAGGGAAAGGGCCAAATCCGGGGGCCCTTGCCCAGTGCGGGGCCAGGGAGGATGGGCCGGCGGACAGGTGGGCTGGGGCTGGGGCGGGGACGGGGCCCCAGCCTGGCAGCCCTGCCCAGCCTGGGGACAGGCTTCCTGTCTCTGGTCTTCCCCTCAAACTCGTTCTCCCGGAACACGGGGTGGGGCCGAGGGCCGGGCAGGAAGGGGGGCCGGCTGTGTCCTCCTTTCACGTGGAAAAAAGCCCCACGGGCAGGCAGACGAGGAAGAGCTTTGCGGGGAGTATCTCCCTGGGGTGCCCTCCGTTCGCCCAGGCCTTCTGGAACCTCACTCCCCATGTGGCCAGACGGCTGGGGCAGCTGAGGGCTGGGGCGGCCCGAGGGCTGGGGCACGTCCCGGGCCCGGCGAAGCAGCCTGCGGTGGGGACACAATGCCAGGGGGGACAGGACCAGGCGTGGTGGCCCTGGCAGCAGGGCTCTTGGTTACCAGGTGGCCGAGGACCATCATCACCCCAGCAGCCTCCCTGGGCTGGGGCTGGGGCGGGCTGAGTCAGCTCTCTCCAGAACCATACGGGCCCGGCCCCTTTGACAAACAGAAGGTGGCAGTAACCATGGCCGGGCCGGAGCTGGGCTGATCCCCTGGCCGGATCCCTGCAACCTCTGGGCTGAACCTACTGATAATCCCCTCCCCTGGGGATCAGGGAAGGGGTTAAGCTCAGCTTGGATGGGGGGCAGGGTAGGCACCCTGGTGGTGGCTGACACCTGCCAAAGTCAACACCCAGCCTGCAAGGGGGGGGGGGGGCTCTATCCAGCTGGCAGGCCCCCTCCCCCAGCTCACACCCCGGCCACACTGGCTGCTCACCAGGGGGCAAAGTCCACACCTGCACTTTCTCAGGGTCTGGTTCCTCCGCGGCCAGAGGAGGCTGCCTCGCGCCCCCCACCCTGGGCCCTTGCATTTGCCAAACGTCCCCATTTTCTGCGTCCTGCAGAGTCGCTTGGCCTCCAAGTGGCAGAACCGGGACTTGACCCCGGGTTACCTGTCTTCTATTTCCCGGCAGGGCTCCAGGCCTCCCCCCGCAGGAGGCTTCCCCCCAGGATGGCGTCCGCTGGAGACCCCACCACCAGCCCACGCGACGCAGCGGACCAGAACTTCGACTACATGTTCAAGCTCCTGCTCATTGGCAACAGCAGCGTGGGCAAGACGTCCTTCCTGTTCCGCTACGCAGACGACTCCTTCACGCCCGCCTTCGTCAGCACCGTGGGCATCGACTTCAAGGTCAAGACCGTCTACCGCCACGACAAGAGGATCAAGCTGCAGATATGGGTGCGCCCGCCGCTGTGCCCGACTCTGCGGCCGAGGGGGCCTGCAGTCCCCTCTGGGACGCCCACGGGGAGGCGCAGGGCCGTGGGAAGGGGTCCCGAGGCGGGGAGGGGGCATGGAGTAGAGGCGAAGAGAAGGGGAGTATTATCTGTGAGCGAATTGATTCCTCAGGGTGAGAGGATACCTGCCCTGTGAGGTCTGAGGGGGAGTCAGCAGTCACCCAAGGCGGTTAGAAGCCCTGGTGGCTAATGGGAAAGGGGTTTGGGTACCTCTCAGGGGTGAGCCCAGAGGCCCCCACTGAGCCTGCCAGGTGTCAGAGCCACCCTCACCCTCCACCGCACCCCCAACGTGCAGCCATTGGTAACAGTTGTCATGGTAACGAGCGCCAGGTGTGTGCATCAAGATGTTCGGTCTCCTCTACCCTGAGTGGCTCCTATGTGTGGTCATTGCGTTGGTTCTCGGAGATGCGGTCAAGAGGCTTATAAGTCTGTGAGAGGCACTGGCCGCTCAGACGGGGAGCTCCTCAGGCTCAGGGCCATGCTCACACCAGACTGGAGCCGGCAGAGGCAGGCCCTGCTCCTCCCATCAAACGGGGGCAGTGAGGGCAGGGCCCTGCAGGGGTGCGGCCACCCCTCACCGGCTGACCCCACGGTTTCCCCAGGACACGGCGGGACAGGAACGCTACCGAACCATCACCACGGCCTACTACCGGGGAGCCATGGGCTTCCTGCTCATGTACGACGTCGCCAACCAGGAGTCCTTTGCCGCCGTGCAGGACTGGTGAGTGCCTGCTGACTGCTGGTCCCCTGACCTTGGCCTTCCCCCTCTCCCCCCCAAATCGCTGGCCTGACAGCCCTCACACCCCACAGGGCCACCCAGATCAAGACCTACTCCTGGGACAACGCGCAGGTCATCCTCGTGGGGAACAAGTGTGACCTGGAGGATGAGCGCGTGGTGCTCGAGGAGGACGGCCGGAGGCTCGCCGATGACCTCGGTGAGTGCCCAGCCTGGGCGGTGGGCCCTGGCCTTCCCAGAACAAGCCCCTGTCCTCACGCTCAGACCCGGGTCCAGCCGCAGGCTCCAGCCCTCTGCTCTTTGACGGTCTGGCCAGAGAAATGCCCACATGTGTGCCACCTTCTCCACTTCATTCCAGGGGGTTCCCCCATCGACCCCCCTCCCTGACTGCTGTCCCCCCTAGGAACGCAGACTCAGGAGACTGCCTCTGGACAGTCTTTTTTATTTACCCCACAAATATCCTCACCCATGTGGGAAACGGCGCGTATGTCCAATCACAGGGCTGCTAGTGGCAGGGAAGCCTTGGCAGCCTCCCAGGTGTCTCACAGAGGAGGAAGCCACAAAACAGAAAGCATGTTCACGTGGCAAAACGCGGCGCGGCCGCAGGTACGGCGAGGCTCCTGGGAGCTGTGGCTCAGAGGCAAAAGCAAACTGCAGAACAGTGGCCGCTCCCTTTAGTGCCGGCAGCGGTCGGCAAACATTTGCTCAAAGGGCCAGAGAGGAAATGGCTTTGGGCGGAGGGTCTCTCACAGCGATTCACTCCTGCCTGAAAGTAGGCACATAGATGATACACCCGAGAGTGAGTGTGACTGCCAGGAAAACGTTATTTACCAAACAGGCCGTGGGCCGGAATTGGCCTGCATTCTGGAGTGGGCCAACGCCTGCATCTATACTGATGAAAGGGTCGTAGGCTAATAAGACCGGATGTCTTCTGGACAACGCCTCAGATGCAGGGGAGCCGTTAGGGCCTTCAGGCAGGCAGGCAGGCAGGTGAGCCGTTAGGAGCCAGTGGCCCCGGATTTCAAGGGGGGTCCCCTGATTGTGAGAGGGTGCAGGCTGGGCTGAGGGGGACCCCTCCCCCTCCATTAGTGTATAAAAAGGATGAGAATAAGAACATGTTTGCCTAAAGGAACTCTGGGAGGATACAGGCGGATCTAATCACAGAAGTGACCTCTGAGTCTGAGAAAACTGGGTGGCTGGAAACCAGGGTGGGAGGGGGACTTTTTCAGTTTACCTTTTTGGAGCAGGTGATGAATGAATTCTCTTAAGCTCAATGAAAACCTTGTCCTGGAATATTCCAGTATTCTAGGCCCTCCCAGGACTTTCCTTACAGGAGGCAGTGTAACCACTGTAGGGTAGGGCGTGCTGAGGACCCAGAGTGCAGCTAGAATCCCAGTCTGCGGCCCACTGCTGTGTGACCGAGGGCTCAGAGCCTCCCCTAGGAGACAGAAGCGAAACCGTGCCTACTTCGTAGGGCTATTAGGAAGATTAAATAGGCAAACGCTGGCCTCGGTTGAACATTAACTTGTGTTATTTCCCAGTCGCTTTGGGATCGTGTGCGGGTGACTCCAGCTCTCTGGGCCTGCATGCCCCTATGTGTCATGTGGAGATAGTAACAGCCCCACCTTCTGATAACTGAGGACCAAGTGAGTTCCGACGGGTGAAGCAGTTATAACAGCGTCCGGCACATGAGTAGGTTGCATCTCAGCGCTAGCTGGTATGACCGTGAACTATTGTTGATGCTTGCATAGAAAACTAAGCACTATGGCCCACCACGTCTGAAATACCTACTCTCTGGCCCTTTACAGAAAAAGCCCAAGGGCCCCTGGGCTGTCCTGGTCCCCTTCCTCTTTTTTCTTGCCATCCGTTTGTTGGAGAAACGGGGTCTTTGTTCTCTGGGACATCTTCCACTCGAGGTTTGGGGCTCTTTGCCCCCTCGAGGTGTCCTTTACCCACTCCTCTGGCCCTGGTGCTTTCTGGGAACTCTAGCCTGGTCTCACTTCCTGGGGAGTCCTTTCGTGGGCTAGGGTCCTTGTGGGTGTCGCCCACACCCTCTTGCAGAGACATCTAGTGCCAGGGCTGAGGGGGGACTTCCCACTCTGTCATTAAGTTTAAAATGCCAGAGGACAAAGCAGAAGATGGAATTTAATCCCAATTTTGTAAAAAAAGAAAACCCCCTCATACACACAACCTACAAACCCAAGCCCAACAATTATGCATTTTTTAAAAATTAATTTTTTATTGATTTCAGAGAGGAAGGGAGAGGAAGAGAGAGAAACATCAGTGATGAGAGAGAATCACTGATTGGTTGCCTCCTGCAGGACTCCTATTGGGGATCGAGCCCACAACCCAGTCAGGTGCCCTTGACCGGAATCGAATCTGGGCCCCTTCAGTCCACAGTCAGACGCTCTATCCACTGAGCCAAACTGGCGAGGGCTGTATTTGTATTTTTTAAAGTAGAAAGCTAAATATCAAAACATCAATAGTAATTGTCTCTGGGTGATGAAACGACAAATGGCTTTCATATTTGTCTTGATACTTTTCAGCAGTTTCTAGCTTTCTCTAGCAAATATTTATGATGAGAAAAAAACACTTAGAAAAAAGGATCCAGATTGAGAGAAGCCACACATATTTGAAGGAAAGGCTAGGTTTGCCCAGGAAGACAGTGGGGTGCCATTGATGATCACTAGGTTCAGAGAAGAAGGTCTGAGTTCATATCCTACCTCTAGCATGCATGCATTCATTCATTCATTCATTCATCATTCATTCATCCATCCATCTATCCATCCATCCAGTCATTGCGTAAGTGGTTCCCTAATGCCTGCTCTGTGCCAGGCACTGGCTGCGGAGTGGACAAGACAGACAGAAATCCTGCCCTCTTGGAGCTGGTGGTCTAGTAGCGGAGACGGATAGGGAGCCTGTAATTACACACCTAACTATTGAATTACATTTTTTTAAATTTAAAATATATTTTCTTGATTTTTTACAGAGAGGAAGAGAGAGGGATAGAGTTAGAAACATTGATGAGAGAGAAACATTGATCAGCTGCCTCTTGCACACCCCCTACTGGGGATGTGCTTGCAACCAGGGTAAATGCTTTTGACCGGAATGGAACCCGGGACCTTTCAGTCCATAGGCCGACGCTCTATCCACTGCGCCAAACTGGTTTCGGCTTAATTACATTTTTTTAATAAAAATATATTTTATTGATTTTTACAGAGAGGAAGGGAGAGAGATAGAGAGTTAGAAACATCGATGAGAGAGAGTCATCGATCAGCTGCCTCTTGCACACCCCCTACTGGGGATGTGCCCGCAACCAAGATACATGCCCTTGACCGGAATCGAACCCGGGACCTTTCAGTCCCCAAGCCAACGCTCTATCCATTGAGCCAAACCGGCCTCAGCGGCTTAATTACATTTTTATAGTGCGGCATGACAAGTGCTGGGGCAGAGGCCCGTTTACCCTGTGCTGTGTGTAATGTGGCGGGTGTTGGTTTGCATTTCTGGCCCACCTTGGGGGGTGTGGCAGGTGGGGACACATCGGGGACCTCTCAGGGATAGTTCCCTGCAGGCAGATGCTTAACCAAACTTTTGGGGGTGTGGGAAGGGTCGTCATGTACCCGTGATTTTTAGGCTGGCTAGCTGCTTTTTGTAGCTGAGGGGCCTTAAGCAAAGCATTTGTTCCGCCTCCCACCTTTGGGAGGGCAAACAAGTCATGACAGCCACTGAGAATATACTCAGAGCTGCCTCCCAGCCTCCCACCCCGGAAGGAGCCAGCCAGCAGAGACCCAAGGTGGTGCAGCAGGAATATTTATGATTCTTTCTTTATTACATTAGAATATTTATTTAATGTTAACTGTTGTTTGAGCAAGGCAGCCTGGTATTACCGATGTGAATTTAAATAAGCAAATTTCCTTCTCTGTGCCTCAGTTTCCTCATCTATAGAATGGGTTATAATAGGATGAACCTCAGAGCATCATTAAAGATGTTTATTTATGCAAAGCACTTAGAAAAGTGCCTGACACATAGTAAGCATTATATAAGCACTTTATTATTATTATTATTACTATTATTAATTTATTTATTTTTAAAATATATTTTTATTGATTTTTTTTTACAGAGAGAAAGGGAGATGATAGAGAGTTAGAAACATTGATCAGCTGCCTCCTGCATGCCCCCTACTGGGGATGTGCCCGCAACCAAGGTACATGCCCTTGACTGGAATCGAACCTGGGACCCTTCAGTCTGCAGGCCGACGCTCTATCCACTGAGCCAAACCGGTCAGGGCTATTATTATTATTACCATCATCATCATCACCATTACCATTTTTAGTGCCTTCTATCGGCCAGGAACTACTTATCACACACTCCCCACAAACACTGGGGAACCCGACAGCGGCTGCAGACTGGTAGCCCCCAGGCTGAAGCCCGTCTTCAGCTTTGCTTTCCTTGGTCGGAAGCACATTTTCCAGAGCATTGCTAGAGTCCATGTAAATGTCCAGCATTGTGGGCGCCCTTGCGGGACCTCCCTGTGCGGTACAACTGCGTGGAAGGCAAGTCGCAGCCACCCGTGGGTACCCGTCCCTCTAGGCACCGGAAAATTACTACCTGGACTACTGCAGCCACTGCCTTGGGACAAAGAGGTTCTTAGGGTAGTTCAGAGCAGGGATTCTATCACAAGGTTTTTTGTTTGTTTGTTTTTATTTCAGAGAGGAAGGGAGAGGAAGAGATAGAAGCATCAATGGTGAGAGAGAATCATTGGTTGACTGCCTCCTGCATCCCCCCCCCCCCAACCACTGGGGATTGAGCCTGCAACCCGAGCATGCACCCCGATGGGAATTAAACCCGGGACCCTTCAGTCCACAGGCCGACGCTGTATCCACTGAGCCAAACCAGCCAGGACTATCGCAGGTTTTTAACATAATTCCCATTGTATAGACATGCACACTGAGGTTCAGAGAGACTAAGGCACTCAGCCAAGGTCCCGTAGCCGCAGAACAGACAGACGTGGGCTTGGAACCAGCTCTGGATGATGCCACGGCCCAGCCTGTGCCTCGTAGCGTCTCACAGGTGTCCCCACTTATGTCCGCCCAGGTTTCGAGTTCTTCGAGGCCAGTGCCAAGGAGAACATCAACGTGAAGCAGGTCTTCGAGCGCCTGGTGGATGTCATCTGTGAGAAGATGAACGAGTCCCTGGACCCCAGCTCCAGCCCGGGCAGCAACGGCAAAGGCCCCACCCTGGGGGATGCCCCACCTCCCCAGCCCAGCAGCTGTAGCTGCTAGAGATGGTACCCCGTCCCCACCCACCCCTTCCTGCCTTGGCAGGCAGTGTGACTGAGGCATGAGCCACAAGGGCTGTTTCCAGGCTCAGGGCGCCCCCTTCCCCCCGTCAGCTGTCTGCTGCCCCTCACTGCCCGCATGGCTCGTTTTCTCACCGCCGCCGCCAGTTGCCCACACAGCTCCCCGAGGGAGCTCCTGACCCTGGGGACGGCGTTAGAGGCGGGTCTGGGGGTGCTGACCTGCACACGCTCGCTGCTTCCCAGGCGCATTCGTGGGGGCGCCTGGCAGCCTGTGGGGCTTCCACAGTGCCTTCTGGGTTCGAGCCACGTTCTGGGTTCGAGCCGTTGTCCACGTCCGTTCCGTGCCGGGCATTGGTCGTCTGGAGCTCACGAGCTGGCTGAAGGGGGTTAGCCTTCCTCCTCACGCCCTGCAGGCTCTCCGAGCTCATCTCGGGAAGCGGGAAGCGGAAGGGGGCTCCTTGCTCAGGGTCCCCGCTCCCATCCCGAGCCTGCCCGTCCCTCTCTGATCTCAAGGCTCCAGGGTGGGGCGGTGACGCTGGCCCTGGCAGACCCCTCCCTTCTGGCCTGCAGATCCTCTGTCTGCAAACAGTATTAAAGCAGCTTCACCCGTTGTGAAGGGATAAGGGGGGACAGAACGCCCCCCCCCCGGGCTTTGGGGACCCCGAAGTGCCTTCTGAGTTTCCCCAGAATTCCACGACCCTGCCACTGTGTTGGCTGATCCCTGGTGCCCCTGATCCAGGGTTGAATTCTGGAATTACGCACCGTGAGGCCAGGCAGAGAATCGCCAGCCCCCTCGCCTTCCTGTTTGGGGCTTTTTTTTTGCCAGGAGTTCACCTCAGACCCAGGAGCCCCCGCCCTCCCGCCCCAACCTGCCTCCCTGGGCCCACGGGGTGAAGTTTTAAGCAAGGTCTTTCCACATCGCACATCCTGCTTGCGGAGGAAATGGAGCAACGTCCCCGTAGCCCGCCCTCCCGGCGGCTCTGCCCTAAGGATGTGGGCTCCTTCCCCGTGGGCACCGGGGAGGCAGTGTCTGCTTCCTGAGCCATGCCGTCCGGGAGGCCCGGAGCCGTGCCATCGGGAGGCCCGGAGCCGTGCCGTCCGGGAGGCCCGGAGCCGTGCCATCGGGGAGGCCCGGAGCCGTGCCATCGGGAGGCCCGGAGCCGTGCCATCGGGGAGGCCCGGAGCCGTGCCATCGGGGAGGCCCGGAGCCGTGCCATCGGGGAGGCCCGGAGCCGTGCCATCGGGGAGGCCCGGAGCCGTGCCATCGGGGAGGCCCGGAGCCGAGCCATCGGGGAGGCCCGGAGACGGGACCTTTTTTTGCTAACGGAGGAGCCACTCTAAGGGATGTTTGGGGTGTGGGCTGGAGGAGGGAGAGGGTAGGGTTGTGTAACTGCTACTGCCTCTTGCACTTCATGATGTAGCTCGGGAGTGGCAGGCAGGTAGGGGATGGGCCGGGGTCAGTCTCCCCGGTTGAGGCTTGGGTTCCCAGCTGCCCCCGGCTCCTGCTGGGAGGTTATTATGTGCAGTCTGGGGATCTGCCATCTTCATACACACACCCCGTTCAGCTCCATGGCCCCCTGGAACACTAGCAGACATCCTCCCCCCCCTCTCCGCCCCCCACTTGACAGACACTGTGAGGACAGCCCAGACCAATTCTCCTGTCCCGGCCCCTGCTGGCGAGGTGACTTCCTGTAGCCTTCCACAGAACCCGGAAGGCCTGGTTCAAGTCTAACCTTAGCTCTCACCTTTCTGGAAACTCTAGATTGAACCTGTTTCTAGAGGGTCCCGGGGACCCCATATCCGGGTCTGCCCGGAGAGTTTCAAAGCGATGATATCTTGGGACACCAACCTGTTAAATGACTGACGAAAGGATCCATCAAGTGAGAAGATCTGAGTGCTTGGGGTGGGAATCAGAAATGTTCATTGCTTTGACATAAAAATGAAAATAGTTAAAAAATATATATATATATGTTTTATTGATTTTTTTTTATAGAGAGGGAGAGGGATAGAGAGCTAGAAACATCAAATGAGAGAGAAACATCGACCAGCTGCCTCCTGCACACCCCCCACCGGGAACTTGCCTGCAACCAATGTACATGCCCCTGACCGGATCGAACCTGGGGCCTTTCAGTCCATAGGCCAATGCTCTATCCACTGAGCCAAACCGGTTTTGGCTGTGTAGACAGTTTTTCAACCGTTCAACTTCAAGTCACAACAGGCAGCTGCCTCCAGGTTCTCTCAAGGCCGGGGAGCATGTAGGAGCATAGTATGTATTTTTGTTTCTTCTAAAAATAATGCAAGTTTTTATTCCATGATGTTTGGTGGTGGTGGTGGGGGCGGGATTGCTCAAGATAGTCTCTGGGGAACAGACATGGATGTGCTCCTGGGTCACGGAGAGAAGGGAGGCGTGTTGAGTTTACAAACAGAAATAGGCCAACGGCCGTGGGAAAACCACCTCCCGGCGGCAGGGAGTCCTGCCCGGGTGCTGACCCTTCTGACCACTTGCTTTTAGCAACTTGTCTTTCCAGAGGCCGCCCGGTGGGAAATTGCCATGATTGCTGAGGTTCTTTTTTTTTTCTTTCTTTTTTTTTCTGGCTTCTCTGGGGGTCATATTCTTGTGTCATTCTCTCCAACGAAACTTAGAAAAACAAGCAAAGGGTGAAATTTGGTCTCCATGTGGAAGCGCTAATTCTGCCAGCCGGCTTCGTCTCCCCCACAATCCCCCAAAAACACTACGGAGGGAGCCCTGGGCCCGCTCATCTCCATCCTGGACGTGGTTCTCTTGTGCCAGCGATTCTCTGATGGCCACTGGAAAGACGGTGCACTTTTCTCCGCAAGAAGAAAGAATTAAAGCCATTGTGCCCAGACGCGGTTGTTTTTTCATTTCCATTAGTGAGATGCGATTTCCAGGAAGAGGGCGGTGGAATCACAGCCAAGCGGATGGCGGGGGGCCGAGCGGGATGGAGCAGCTCCCGGGTGAGTCCCCGGAGGCTCTGGCCTGGGGCTGTCTACCGGGAACTCACGGCCACCCTGCTGGCTCCGGAAACTTCCTCTGCCTGGAGGGCATGGAGGATAATGTCGCTCCAACTAATTCTACGAGGAAGGTCTGTCCACCACAGCAGCCAGAGGGGCACCTGTGAGCACCCAGTCTGGTCACATCCCTCTCCTCAGGACCCTCCATGGCTCCCACCGCCTGGGAGTAAATGCCAGTCTCCCAGTGGCCTACAGGGCACTGTGTGGCCTAATCAGCCACCTCCCTCCTCTCAGCTTTTCCCACTAGCTTTGCTCCGGTCATATTGACTCCCTGGCTGCTATTTGAACACACCAGGCCCCTGCCTCAGGGCCCTCGAACTCGCTGTTCCTCAGCCTGGAACTCTCCTACCTCAGGGAGTCACAAAGCTCCCCTCACTCACGTCCCCTTTCAGGTCTCCCCACACGTTTCACCTTCTCATTGCTGCTTCCCCCACAATGTAGTACTTTAGTACTGCAACCCCTCCTTCCCAGAGCCCCTGGAATATAAAAGACTATCTCATTTTCTCATTTAATGTCAACATGTATTTCCTCCAATAGTGTCAGCTAAATGCAGGGATTTAAAAATATTTCACCGCCACACCCAGCTCTGTTCCTGTCTGCTACAATAAAAAAGAAATACTTGGTCTTTGTCCCTGGTTCCTAGCACCTCTCTCTCTCTCTCTCTCACTCAAAATATTTTATTAATTTTTTTTTTTTTTTTTTTTTTTTTTTTTTTTTTTTTTTACTGAGAGGAAGGGAGAGGGATAGAAGGTTAGAAACATCGGTCAGCAGTCCGAAAGCAGACACTCTATCCACTGAGCCAAACCAATTAGGGCTCTTTTAAAAATATATATATTTATTGATTTCAGAGAGGAAGAGAGAGATAGAAACATCAATGATGAGAGAAGATCATCACACCTCCTAGCAACCCAGGTATATGCTCTTGGCGGGAATCAAACCTGGGACCCTTCAGTCCACAGGCTGACAGACACTCTATCCACTGAGCGGGGCCAGCTGGGGCTAGCACACATCTCTTAAAACCCGTTATCTCCACAGGGAGGGCTAAGTGTCTTTTGCATGCTGACCAGAAGGCTGGGGGAGGGGCTTGGTAGCTTCAGGATGGGAGTTGGCCTCCAGAAAGACCAAGCCATGATTAGCCATGATTGGATGGTGGGCACTGTCAGTCCTGCCCCCTGGCCTCCTGGGAGAAGAGGGGCTGGAGATGGGGTGAATCACCAATGGCTAATGACTTAATCAATCGTGTCTTTGTAAGGAAGCCGCCATGAAAACCCTAACCTACTGAAGAGCTTCCGCATTGGTGAGCACATGGCCGTGCCGGGAGTGGTTTGCCCAGAGAAGGCATGGACATCCCACTCCCTTCCCCATTCCTTGTCCAGTGCTTGTCTCCCCTCTCACGCTCCTGAGCTGTAGCTTTCATTTATGTTTTTAAATAAGTTCTTATTCTGAGTCGTAGCTTTTGTAATAAACGTAGTAACGGGTAAAGTGCTTTCCTGAGTTTGGTGAGTCATTTGGTTATCAAGCCTGAAATGGAAGGAAGGCAGCGGGAAACCCCTGCCTGTAACCAGCTCAGACAGCGGTGTGTCTCACCGGGGGACACAACACTTGCCGCTGGCATCTGAGATGGGACCAGTCCCCGGGGACTGAGCCCTTAAACCTGTGGCTTCTGATGTGGACTCTGGGCAGTTGGTTTCAGAACTGAATTGAACTGTGGGTCACCCAGCAGATGCCTGCAGGTTTGCTTGATCTGGAGAGTCCCCACATATTTGGTGTCAGAAGTGTGAGTAAAAAACTGTTTCTGACACACAGCAGGCACTGTACAGATGTTTGTTCGGCGAACGAATGGACTGCAGAGCCTGCGTGAGCGAGGTCCAAAGACTTGCATACGGTACCAGGATTCTCATCCTTGCTCTCTGTGCCTTCTCTCTGTAGCCCACCCCTCACCCCTCTGAACCATGTGAGTTGTGGGGGGCTGTGGGGATGCTGGAAGCTGCTCTTTCCTGGTAACCCTAGTTAACGTCCCCAAACCAGGTTTCTTGGCCACCCGGGTCCCAGTTCATGCCTGAACCAATGACTGAAGTCAGACAGATGAAACATGCTGATTGGCTGGCTTGGGGCTGATTGCCCGCCCCTAGCTTAGAGACGCAAATCTGAGAGGCGGGCTGGTTCCAAAGAAAGCTAGGTGTGTTTTACAAAAAGTGGCAGTTGATGGCAACAATAGCAAATATGACTGTGCCCATTTTATTATCCTCCCCAAAAGAAAGATGGAAAAATTACCATTTGCAATCCCCAATGGAAGGATCCATTCAATCTGCTATGGTCAGTGGGTGAAACCCTTGTTTTATTGATTCTTAGCAGTGACCGTGGCCACCCCTTCATTGGGTAGTAAGTCCCCATGCCCAGGCCACAGCCCAATCCAATTAAATCAAAAGATGGGGAGATGGTGCCACCACAGAACCAGCTCTAACTGGCCCTATCCTGTTCTAATGTCAACTGATGGATGTTGGTGCCAATTCAACAATAGGAATCCCCAATTTGGGGTGTGGCAAAGAAAGAAATTATCCGGTACAAAACATCTCAGTGGTGACACAGCACAACTGTGAGGCAGCCCTGGAGCCAGGCCACACTCCCACAAGGCAGCTCTGCTCGTGGCTGGTCTGCTCTGTGCTGCAGGGACCTGCTCCACTGCCTTCCGGCCTGTTCGTTCCCTCCAGTCTTGGGTGGAAAGGAAAGTGTGCTCCCAGAGCCGCAGGAGAGCTGGCTTATATAGACACAAGTCCCCACCCCTGGCCCCTGATTGGTGTGTCCTCATGCAAATGAGGACTCCAAATCCTCGGCAGTTTGATTGGCCCAAAAGGCACTGACCTGATTGGTCAGAATTAGAACTGCTCTAGTTGACCTGAGCTTTGCAGCGCCAGTTGGATGGGAAGCCTCAGTCCGGTGGGTTGAGGTAGGGTTCCAGGCACTCCTGTGTCAGGGCTGGCTTAGACGGCAGACAGTGCAGGCAGGCGAGTCAGCGCAGAG